TTTTTTTTTTTTTTTTTTTTTTAAACAGTAACGCGTTTTATTAATTATCTAATGATCCGAGGATCTATAATCAAACATAAAAACACTTAGAGCAGTGAAAACTAAATTTTCAAAACCCTATAACTGAGTAATCGAACCATTATATACAAAATACATATATACAAAAAAAAATAAATTATTACTACTTAGAAAACAAAAAGGGAAAAGCAAGATCGCTAAAAAAACCCTAAATGAAATTTATCTAAGATTGTTATCTAACTAAAGACAGATTGATACCCTCCGTACTATACCCTGGTAAACCAAAGTAAAACCTTCCTTTGGCGAAATCTGCGGTCTCTAGTTAGCTTTCTCGCATGCGAGCACCGCCCGCCATCAAAATTACGTCAACGGCTTCCAATGTAACGTGCGCAGACTTGCATGGCCCGAACTATACACGCGACTTGGTGTGATTGGCCTCCCCAATGTTGATCGACATCTTCGTAACCTTAATTTTGATTGATACTCTCTGCTTGAAACACTTACCTAAAGCGGATAGGCCACTCCTTTTACACCACCTTTAGGGGATATTTAACATATGCGCTAAAAAAAAAAAAACTACTGCGCCAAACCAATAACGAAACCAAAAGAAAAGGAAAAAAGAAAAGAAGAAAAAAAGGGTAAAGGGTAATAAACACCAAACCAAAACAACCACCAGAAAAAGCTAACCACCTCCCAAGACTAACACTTTCCTTCGCCCGCTAGACCTTCTGCCAAAAACCCACTTCAACTCCAAGAAAAGAACTCCGCAACTTCCAAAGACCAATATTCCAAAGGGACTCCGTCTCCAGTATTATCCAGGGACTGCTCCAAAGGTTTTCCTTATGCAAAACTCTCCGAAACAACAAGTTATTAGGAGCCAAAACTTAACGTTACGAAGCTTTAGAAAAATTCGGCAGTTGGTAAACCCTCTACTAAAACACTTAAAACTCATTAAAAAGGACAGTATTAAGGGTATTTTTCGTTTTAGAATCCATTTCATGAAGAAAAAATGAGAGTTTATTAGTTGGAATAACGAGAAAAATGAAATTTTTGATTTTATGAAGTCGTGTGAAAAATGGTCGTAATGATCAGCAGAAAGAGTCCCCCACTATTCCGTCATTTATTTGTTACACTCATTTACGCCATATCTGATATATATAAATTAAATAAATGGGTAATAAAGAACAAATTTTCTTCCTTTTAAAAAATTAAAAAATGTCGAAACTTAACAAAGATGTAATATCCCTAATATTAAAAGAATTATATGATAGGGGAAATACACTTTATTCATGTCTTTTAGTTGACAGGACTTGGTATGAAATGACTGTACCAATTTTATGGAAGAATCCTTTTCGATTTCACTTAAAAGAAAAAGCACATATCATTATAATTAATGTAATACTTTCATATTTATCAGAAGAATCAAGAGTTAATTTGAGGAATCAAGGAATTGAACTTATAAATACATATCAACATCAACAACCTTTATTAAATTATATTAGTTTTTGGAAATATTTAGATTTAGCTGTATTAGATAAAATGATAGAAACTTTTGTAACTGATACAAATATTAATCAATCCAAAATTTCTATTATAGGATTAGAAATCATGAATATATTTAATAGGAATACAAAATTTTATTTTCTTTGCAACTTTTCTTACTATAACTTTACTTCGGGTACTGAACTTTATTTCTCAGAACTTGGATGCCTTCATTGTAATTCTACTCAAGACAACAGCATCTTAGCAGAAGGATTGGCTATATTAAATACATCAATTAAAAAATTGAGTTTTGATATTGTATATAATAACACTCATAATTTTGGTATCATTAAATTAATTGAAGGTCAAAAAAACTTAAAAGAAGTTAAATTCAACAATAAATATCTGGTTACTTTTAAGGAATCAATTATCGGACCACTTGAAGAGTTACTAATTAAGTGTGCCGATACTATTCAATATTTGAAAATAGACTGGAAACCTGTCACAAATTTATTTTCATATCTTGTAAATTTAATAAGTTTAGAAATACACGGTTATCTCCACAATAATTGGAATCATTTGGAAAATATATCTTTACCTCTTTTAAAATACCTAAAAGCTTATTACGTGTCATCTAAAATTTTGGCAAGTATAATTGAAAATACAATAGGAAATCTTATTGAAATAAGTATTATCTATGATAAAAGTGGTGATGATGAAGGAAGGCTTATCCATGCAATTTATCAAAATTGTCCAAACCTAAATTATCTTAAATTCTCATTATTTAATAAGAATTTTTCAGAATTTGAAAATTTATTAATTAATTGTCAAATTTTAAATGGATTGGAAATTTTCTGTATACATGAGAATCAAATTAATTGGAAAATCTTATATGAAATATTGACGAGGTCCACACCAATTGGTTTATTTAAATTTAAATTTATATATTCTACTATTAATTCTTATTTGAAAATTGATTTAGAATCTTTAAGTTTATTTCTTGACAATTGGAAAGATAGAAGTTCTATGTTATTGCAAATCTTTTCACTAATAAAAGTGGAGCAGATACAACAACATCAGCTAAAATTAGAAGATCTTTTACAAAAATATAAAACAAAAGGAGTAATCAAAAATTATTGCACTAATAGGTATGTATTTGAAGATTTTGAATGGATTCAAAGTAAATTCTGTACGTTATATGATTAAAGGAAGATTAGGGAATTTTAAAATAATTGATAGAAAATCGCAATTTAATTACGGAAAATTAGAAAATTTATTTAGAATATTAGTTTGTAAAATAACTAAAGTTTTATCTAATTATGAAAGATCGGTATTTAAATTAATATTTTTGTCAAAATTGTCGCTGGGATGAGGCGCAGTATTCACGATCGTTTTTTTATTAGCAGTAGGAATTTTAATGTCTATTGTCTAATAAGTAGGTGAAAGTTATCTAAATTAGAAAATCTATGATTTATATATATATATAGGACTTTCGAGTATTAATATTTTTTCTAAAAAAAAAAATTTCAAACCACCACGAGAAAAAAATTATTTAACTCAAAAGAATCTTATTAAACTTTAAAATAATTTTAGATAAATTTATCTAGAATATGGTGGATAATAATAAACATATCTTTAAATTCTTTATCCTGAAAAATGTCACTAATTATTACAAACAGAATTGATTTATCGGTTCAACAGAGGTTCAATTAAAAGTACGACCTTTTATTTATTTACAAAATTTTATCTCTGAAAATATAATAAAAATTCTTCGTTAATGTTGGAATGTCAGAATTTACCAGTTTCAAGAGCAGCAATTTTTAATTAAAGAAAAGTAAGGAAATTTTCTGCAATCAATTATTTATTAGTATGATAGATTTCACTCGAGATAATGAAAATTATATAATAACGTAATTAAAAATCACTACCGCCATCAATTATACCATATAATGGTGTTGCAATCGGCCACATGACCGCCACAGAATATTTTTTAATTTTCCTTTTTGGTATTTTTTCAAAGTTTTTTTTTTTTTGATTTCGGATTTTTTGAGCTTTTTTTCATTTTTCGGATTTTTTTTCACTTTTCTTTTTCCGGCTTGGTTCTTTTTCCAAACCCCCCAAAAAAAAATTTTCAATTCTCTTTTTCGGTTTAAACCGAAACATTTTTTTCTTTTACCATTTAAGTTTGGATCGATGCTGCGGTGCCATGGTAAGGCACCTTATTTCCGAAATTTTTTTTTTTGCGATTATTTTGTTTTACTAATATTTTCTTTTTCCTCTAATGTTTTTTTTCATTCTTTCATCCTATAGGTTTGTATTTTTCAGTTAGCAATATAATCGAAATATTTTTTTATTCGAGTAATAATTATATTTTATTTGGTTTTTTTAGTTAAAATAATAAATATGATTTAATCCAACCAAAAAAATTTAAATTAATAATTTTTTTAATTAATATTTTTAATATTGTTCTTTTTATTATTGGTTTGCATCGGCCAGTTCTGACCCGGCACGTTGCAAGCCTTTAAAATTTCATTGATATAGTTGCCGGTAATTTTACTAATTTACTAATTCTTGCTTGGTAATTTATACAAAGTTATCATAATGGTAGCAATTTGTTTATCATAATTCATGACTTAAAAAATATCAAATTGAAGTAATATACGTAATATACGATTTTCAAAATTAGTAAAGTTTATAATACATTTTAATTTTTTGGAAAATATTCTTATAATATGTTTGAGAATAATTAATGAATTTTAATAAAAGGTAAAAACTAAATTTTTTTTAACAGAAAAGTAAAGTTCCTTTTTGCACTATTTAATATGCCAGATGTTGCTTGATAGATCTGTAAAATAATAAATAGAAATTTATGCACATTTTTTACACTTTTTTATTCGATCGAGTAGATATAGTATGGAATAACTCAAGATCTATAAACAGAGAATTATATTATGGCTATTATGGCTTTAGATTTTTGCCCTATAAAAAAAATTCTGGAAAAACCTTCGATAAATGATCATTTTTCTAATTTTTATTCCGAAGAATAACTAAGACATGTGATCATTTTTCTGAAAAATTTTTATTTTATAGGGTTGCAGAGAACGGAGACTTGCCAAATTACTTAAATAAAAATCGTAATAAATTATATTTTAGTGAATTAATTCATCGAGTTTTACATATTGGTAGGTTCAAAGATCTCACTTGTATAACTGATATGGGATTATGTAAACCTGCTGATTATAAAGCATCAGAAAATACAAAAAATAATACATATAGTATTTTATCATATATTGCTCCTGAAAATTGACTGGGAAAACCCTGCGAGCGAAGCGAGTTACGATTATAGTATTCCCTATAAAAAAAATAGATACGTTTTTTATACTGAAAGATACGTTTTGTTTACTGAGAGATACGTCTACCGGTGGTTAAAATTCTTTAGTTGGATATGAAATACAGTTATTTTATTAAAATTTTTAATTTTTTCTTAAAAAAAAAAAAAAAAAAAATTCTCTGAGTGCAATTGATTTATGTAACACACTATCGAGTGAGAACATTATTCAAAAAAAGGAAGTGCAGGTCTGAAGGAAGAAAGTAGTTCGGGGAATAACAAACATTTGCGTGGTTATACTAATTTTCGCCCCAGGTTCCCATTGGATCCGATGTGAAATTAGCTCGGATTCCATGTTATGATGGCAGAAGACATGGGTCCGGATGATTACAAATCAAAAAATTCCAGATGTTGATCAATCGGACCTTTGCGTATGATCAGTGTATGACCGAATAAATCAATATGGAAGTGACCCGAAATTCGAATGATTTTCACACTGCGCACATTTTATTTGTTACACTTCTTTACGCCATATATAAATTAAATAAAGGGTAATAAAGGACAAAATTTCTTCCTTTTAAAAAAATGTCGAAACTTAACAAAGATGTGATATTCCTAATATTAAAAGAATTGTATGATAAAAATAATACACTTTATCCATGTCTTTTAGTTAACAGGACTTGGTATGAAACGACTGTACCAATTTTATGGAAGAATCCTTTTCGATTTCAACTAAAAGACAAAGCACTTAACGTTATAACTAATGTAATATTTTCATATTTATCAGAAGAATCAAGAGATAATTTAAGGAATCAAGGAATTGAACTTACAAATACATATCAACAACCTTTATTAAATTATATTAGTTTTTGGAGATATTTAAATTTAGATATATTAGAAAGAATGATAAGAACTTTTTTAACAGATACAAATATTATTAATCCCAAAATTCCTATTATAAGATTAGTAATCATGAATGTATTTAATAGGAATACAAAATTTTATTTTCTTCGTGATGATTTTTCTTTTTCTTCCTCGTTCCTAGGTACTGAACTTTGTTTCTCAGAACTTGGATGCCTTCATTGTACTTCTACTCAAGACAACAGCATCTTAGCAGAAGGGTTGGCTATATTAAATACATCAATTAAAAAATTGAATTTTGATATTTTATATAATAATACTCATAATTTTGGTATCATTAAATTAATTGAAGGTCAAAAAAACTTAAAAGAAGTTAAATTCAACGATAGATCTCCGATTATTCATAAGGAATTAATCGTTAGACCACTTGAAGAGGCACTAATTAAATGTGCCGATACTATTCAATATTTGAGAATAGATTGGAAACCTGTCACAAAATTATTTTCATATCTTGTAAATTTAATAAGTTTAGAAATACACGCTTTTCGCCACAAAAATTGGAATAATTTGGAAAAGATATCTTTACCTCTTTTAAAATATCTAAAAGCTCATTACGTCCCATCTAAAATTTTGGCAAATTTAATTGAAAATACAAAAGGAAATCTTATTGAAATAAGTATTATCTATGATCGAAGTTATGATGAAGGAAGACTTATCCATGCAATTTATCAAAATTGTCCAAACCTAAATTATCTTAAATTATCATTGTTTAGTGAGAATATTTCAGAATTTGAAAATTTATTAATTAATTGTCGAATTTTAAATGGATTAGTAATTATCGGTACACACGAGAATCAAATTAATTGGAAACTTTTATTTGAAATATTGACGAGGTCTACACCAATTAGTTTATTTAAATTTAAATTTATAGATTCTACTATTAATTCTTATTTGAAAATTGATTTAGAATCTTTAAGTTTATTTCTTGACAATTGGAAAGATAAACGTTCTATGTTATTACAATTCTTTTCATCGGGATCTATGTTAAACGTGGAGCAGAAGCAACATCTGCTAAAATTAAAAGATCTTTTACAAAAATATAAAACAAAGGGAGTAATCAAAAATTATAACACTAATAATTTTGGATTTGAAGATTTTGAATGGATTCAAAGTAAATTCTATACGTTATATGATGATTAGGGGATTTTAAAATAATTGAATAGTAAATCGTAATTTAATTACGGAAAATTAGATAAGTAGGTGAAAGTTATCCAAATTAGAAAATCTATGATTTATATATGTAAGACTTTGGTTTTAGTGCGAGTATTAATTTCAAATAACCACGAGAAAAAAAATTATTTAACACAAAATAGTCTTAGCAAAATTATTAAAAATATTTATTTAAAAATTATTTTAAAGTTTAATAAATTTTAGATGAATTTATCTAGAATATGGCACATATCTCTAGTCTCTACATTCTTTAACCTGAAAAAATGTTACCAATTATTGCAAACAGAATTAATTATCGGTTCAACTAAAAGTACGGCACGAAATGAATTTGAAACATTTAAAAATAATGACTTCTTTTTTCCTCGACCTTTTATTTATTTACAAAATTTTTTCTCTGAAAATTTAATAAAAATTCTTCGCTAACGTTAGAATGTCAGAATTTGCCAGTTTCAAAGAGCAACAATTTCTAATTAAAGAAAAGTAAGGAAATTTGCTGAAATCGATTGTTTATTATGATATACTGTATTTCACTCGAGACAATGAAAATTTATATAATAAAGAAATTAAAAATTCATCCCTACCGCCATCACTTATAAGTTATAACATATAATAAATAGTTCTTTTGAATTTTTTTTTTTTTGTTTCTTTTCGAAAATAAATTTCTTTCTTTTTTTTTGAGAAATTTTTTTTTGAACCTTTTTTTTTCATTTTTCGGGAGTTTTTTTTCTTTTCAGCCCTTTTTTTTGAAAGAAATACTTTTTTTCACATTTCTTTTTCCGGCTTGGCTCTTTTTTCCAAACCAAAAAAAAATTTTTTCCCTTTTCTTTTTCGGTTTGGCTTTTTTTTTTTAAGCAAAACTTTTTATCTTAATTGTTTTTTCCATTCTTTTACCATTTATGTTTGTATTCGACATTTGCAATAGTGACGTATAAATCTACACTCAATAAACGACCTCGCCAGGAATTAGTTAATTGAACATATTTTATGCTGACACTTGCGGAAAGATGTAAAGAAGGGTGTGAAGTATGTTTCGAAATTAAAGTTATTTCGAAACATTATTTTAAAATTTTTTTAACATTTTTGACTTTCCGGATGGGGACTTTTAGAAATGGTAAGCTTCGCAACCGTTACGAAACAAGAGAATCATTACTAAACGTTTCACTTTATCTTTTTTTCTAGATTCTCAAAGTTTCGTAAGATTCCATTTTAAACGTTGTGAAACAATTTTTAGGGTGCCAGACTCTTGGAAACGAGAAGAACCTGGACTCTGGATATGGATAATGTAAGGAGGAATTTTTTTTAATATTGAAGAAACGTACTAACGTTTCTTTTTTTTGACTTTTGTAGATTTCAGCTTCTTTGAATTCTTCCATAATGCATGGTAAGTGTATTATGTATATGCAAATTTTCTTTTGATATTTGCTTGAAAAACATCATATACTAATATTTCTATTTATTTTAGTTTTAATAGTTGTTTATTGGAATCGAACCAACTGGAATAATGTTCCAAACCATTAATAACAAATTAATCATTTTTATTATCCCTTAATCTATCTGACATTCTATAAGTTATGAATTAAACCTTATACAGTATATTTAGCTAATAAAAGTAACTATACATACATTATTATCAGTTTACTGTAAATACTACATGGATCAATCAACTGGCTGTTGCCTTTATAAATGTACAAGTTGTACTACGATAAAGCGATCAATATAAAAAAGATAAAAAAAAATCATTTTTTTAAATTTGAATAAAAATAAAAAAAAACTATTTCAACAAATAGTACTAGTCACTATTTATTTTTCACTAAAATAATGAATCTATAGATTGTTTTATTCATACCAATGCTTATAATTTATCATATATAATATTGATTAAAAACATTAGTCCCGATGCGAAACAACGGCACGATACTAGTATTCCAATAAAATACATATACTGTAATAAAGAAAATAAATAGTAAAAAATAGATATTAATAAAGAAATTTATATTCCTTTTCTTTTCTTTAGCTGTTTTTATCTATAAAATGAATTATTAAACAAATTGTTAATATTATTAGTAAATTATACATGTAGGAAACAAATTAATATAAATGAGTACCTAGGTTGAGTTTAGTGAAATCTATTGCTTCTATGGATTCTATAGGATAAAGATAATTTTACATTAATAGTTTCAAGAATTTTAAGAATTTTATAAAAATAAACAAAGACATTAATTACCTGAATATTCAAATGAATTATCATCATCTTTGTCATCAACAGCATTTTTTGGTTCTGGTAGATCTTTAAAGTTTAAAAGTCTACTCGTGTACACTGCTTGAGGGTTCGTAGTATATGAAAGAGTAATACCATTATATGGTAATGAAGAGGAAGTAAACTTTTCATTAATTTTATCTGCTTCTTCAACTTGCTTTTTGACTTCACTATAACCATATAAATCATTACGTAATTCATATAATAAATTATATAATTTATCTGCTTTAGGTCGTTTTAAAGGATCAGCATCCCAACATTGTTTAATTATGTCCAAAATTAGTTGAGGAATTTTGTAATCAGATTTTGGTCTAAGCCCTTTACAAATGCTAATTGCTAAGATTTTATCATGAGCAATATCATGATAAGGAGGAAGCCCTGTACAGACTTCATATGCAATAATTCCAAATACATAAATATCACTTTCTTGAGTATATTCTAATCCTCTTAAAACTTCAGGCGCTACATAAGGTAATACTCCATATACTTTTTTATACTCATCTTGAGATGATTTTACATTTGCTGGTCGACATAATCCTAAATCAGTAATACGAATAAAATCATCATGGTTTAATATATTACCACAATGAATATCATGATGAATTAATCCTTTACTATGAATATCCTTAAGTCCATTTGTAATCATTTGTAAAAAGTCCAACTTTCCTTCCCATTTCATTGAATTAAAACTATTATTTTAACGTTGTCTTAAACTGCCATCTTTTGAATATGGCATTACCATCATAAAATTATTAGATTCTGGATCTTTAGTAATACCATAACAAAAAGTTACATTAAACGAATCAATTGTAGTATGTAATTCAATCTAAAAATCATTCATATATAATGACAAATAATAGTCAGCTTAGTACTCACAAAAGGAAAATATCTAAAAAATTATAAATAAGTAACTTACTTCTCTTAAAAAATCAATTGTAATATCTTGTGAATTATGTAAACATTTTAAGACAACTGGAAAATTTTCGTAATCCTCAACCCAATTTTTACTTCTTATCCATTTATTATTTTCAAAATCCCATTTGTATATATACTTTCCAAATTGCTTTATAAATAGTTCCAAATCCTCCTTTGGCCAAATATGCAACATTTTCAAATCTATCATATTCAATCCACTCCAAAATTTTCTTATGATTTTTAGCTTTAAGTTGTGCTTTTTGAATAAGCTTATCAATTTCATTATTTCCACTAGTCCAATTTTTGAAATTTTGTTGAAATTTACATTGACACCAAGCACCAGTAATTTTAGGCTGCTTACAATCTTTGCATAAACCATTCATTTTATAACGTTTTTTTAATTCTTCATTTAATATTAGCTTATCAATTAGCAAACTTTGTTCATCCGTTAATTCCCGATGGTAAAAATCTTTTATTTGCTCAATTATATCGCCGCTGAGCATAAATTCTTCCATATTTTTTGAATAATAAAAGTGATATTAATTTTATGTTTAAACAGAGTAAAAAAGATTTTTATTTTTAAAAAAAAAACCCACGGCATTTTAAAACGTATTACAGTCGCACAGCAGCGATCGACAAACCTTGGGCGTTTAAAAAATCAGCTGATAAAAATAATTCCGTCAAGAAATTTCTTTTTATATTCTACGAGGATCCCGAAATATACATAAAAAGGTCAGATCCGGGTTTGCGTACATCCAGCCAAAAAAAACATGAAAATCTTTCCTTTTTTAGATAATTCCCGGTGAAAAGATATTTCCTTTTTTGGTCACTCGCCAAAATTATCATAATTCCGGCCCTGAAAGAATGCGTACAGCTATTAGTAAAATTTTTTTGGCTGCCTCTGACCTTTCTATATATATTTCGGGGTCCTATTCTACGTAATACAAATTTCACTTATTATTTGATCATCATTATTTTATGAGATTTCTGTACAGTACATAGATATCAAGTTAATTGGATAATATATTTTGTATAAAAATTTTAAATCTATACAATTCTAATGTGAATTTAATTTAAAAAAAAATATTTAGTCATTATTAGGAAAAAATGAAATCAATTATATATAATATATGTTCATGAAAGAAAAATTCAACCGCTGGTAAATAAAAATAATTATTGTTACAGTATTATAAAAATAAAAATATAAATAAATTAAAAATTTCCATTTATCTTAACACCATTCTCTTTATTAACGTGAACTTTTTTGTTAATTTATATTTTTTTAGTGCTTCCAAAGTGAAATAGTATTTAATAACTACATTTGCATAATCATATAAATTGTGCCAGGGGATAGTAGAACGACGACCATCATTTAAAACGCTATCTATATCTATAATCTGTTGAATTTAATTTATATTTACATTAATTAAACATAAATAAAACATAGTAATAAATAATCCTTTACATAATGTTATTAACAAGTATTAATATAAATCAGGTCATTTATAATTTTCTTCCTTTTAAAACCTTGGTTTCTACATGTGGTAATACTCTCCTTCGCTGGTTTGCATAATCCCAAATCAGCAATATTGGCATAACTGAGTAAACCTTTAATATGTTACCACTATGAAAATCTCGATTAGTTAATCCCACTTTATGAATATTATAAAGGCCATATGCAATATCACTCAAAATATCGAGCTTATTCTTCAAGCTTTATAAATTGAAATATTTATCTAATTTCGTCTTAAATTACCATAATCTGCATACTCCATTACCATCAGGAAATTATTTGATTTAGAATCTTTAGTAATACCATAAATTTAATAATACGAGCTGAATTATTTACTTTCAAGTGTGAATTAATATATAATATTACTACCTCATTTAAAAATTCTAGTTTTGAATTATATAAACATTTTAAAGCAACAATTATTTTTCCATATCTATTCCATTGATTTGTTTCATAATCTCATTATCTTCTCAATCTTCTTATTTCACCATCTTTTCAAATTGCTTTATATATTGATCCAAAACCTCCTTTTGCAATATATTCAATATCTTCAAATTTATCATATTCAATCCATTCTAATTTTTCATAAGGACTTTTTGCATTAAATTGTGATTCTTGAATTAATTTATCAATGTCAGAATTTCCACTTGTCCAATTTTTTTAGAATTTTGTTGAAAATGTTTAATATTACATAATTGACACCAATTATAATTCGTATTAGATTGTTTACATTCTTTACATAAAACATTCTCTTTATAATGTTCTTTTAATTTTAAATATTGGGATTTAACTGAAGAATAAAAATTGATATTTGATAAATTAATAATAAATGAAAAATCTTTTATTTGTTCAAAATGTATTGATACTAATATATCGGAATAATCGAAAAGTTATGTATCATTTTACAACATTCAAGTTTAAAAAGTTATTAAGCTTATTAGTAATGATGTAATAACGCAACTCATATACCCGAAAAAAATAAGTATAGGTAATTATGTTTCATGATCGATTAATTACAAAATATATAGGTCAAGTGGGATCTGCACAATTTTACTAAAATTACGTATGGATTTTGGATTTTTGAGATTCTTGGAATTAATTAATAAAGTATCGAAATTCCAATTTTTCAACTCTTAAAAATTATTTAGAATTTTAACTTAACTACTATGCAATAATGTACGGTGCATGCTTTTTTTTAGTATTAAGTTGTTTAAATTCTTCACATATCGGATCATAAAACCAAATTCTTACGTTACGTCACTGGGAGAATCCGTAGTTTGTAATCACTAAATGTCAAAAGTAATCACTGCATAATTTTATTAGTATGAACTATGAAGGATCAATATAAAGTCTATAAATGTTTTTTAATAGACTTATTTATATGTAAGTTGCTTATAATGTAGGTGTTATAAGACAGTTTTTATTAAAGTAATTAATGAGTGGCAAAAGAAAGAAATCATAAAATCTAATATGTTCTATAGGATAAAAACAGAAATGATGGAAATGTTAAAATATACAACTACTTCAATTTTCCTTTGAATACTGTGGTACAATCATCCAACAAAGAAACGTTTGATTAATGAATGAATATAGGAAATTTGTAATACAAAATTTCACCATAAATTTCTCACGGACGTTGCAGTCACTGTTAGTGAATGATTTCTAATCATGTGTATATCCAATCAATTATATTACACGTGACTAATTAAACGTGATCAATTTTTTTTTTTTTGATCAATCATTGATTAAATTATTAAATCCACTAATTTCAATATTTTTTTTGGTACAATTTTCATATCACGAAATTTTGGAGTGAAAATAAATTAACAGTTTTCTTTCGCAAAAATTCTTTTCTTTTTATTATCAGTTGCCCCATTTTTTTTGAAAAGAAAGAAATTATTCATTATTCAATATCCTTTTATATCGATCTGTGATTTGCATGATTTTTAAATATAATAATTTATTAAGAGCTGAGAAAAAAATATATTCCATTAAGTTAATGGTTTAAGTGTAAACATCATTTTTATTAGACATTATCATAAGCGGACTATAAATATTGAACTCTTGCGTATTTGACTAAACTGAATAAATTGTTCTATTTCTATCTGTCGTTCTTGAACTGCAAATTAAAAATATACGGTAACTTGTTATACAGATAATACATAGCAACGGACCAAAAAAAAAAGATTTTTTTTTACATAAATAACAAATATATTGTACTAACACGTAAATTTTTTTTTTTTATGAAATAAATTCTAAAAATTTTTTTATTTGATAAATTGATAAATTTTATGTTGTGTAATATATTGAGTAATACGTAAAAATTTTTTTTCAAAATAATTTTTTATTTTTATGTAAACAAGATAACAATAGAATATGTTCAAATAATGGGAAAGTGATTCTAAAGTTTTAGAATCAAGATTGGAAAAGATATAAGAAATTACGTGAACTTACACGAGGCATTTATAATAATGACCTGAACAAAATAAGTTATATTAAAGAAGAAAAAAAGATGGTACAGGAGTTATGGGAAACTCAATATATTAATGTACGGAAATATATTTGGTTGATAAGATGTGAACGAGTTATAGAAATAGGAAAAAAGGAATTAAAATTGGATTTTAAAGACAAAAAAAAATAGCGAAACGCTTGACAAGCAGACAAGGATACTATAATAAAAAGAAGGCGTAAAACACAAAAAAATAAAAAATTTAGAAAAACATATTATAACAGAAAAAATTATTAGTAATAGTATTTTGATCAATAATAGTAGCAGGCATAGTTGAATTCCTGATTGCTGATCATCTGGACCTGGTTTAATCGCAGAAAATCCTCTGGAATTCCATGACGATCTACGCCTGAGCTGGTCCGGATCACGTTGCGGCTAATTATTTTTCGGCTAACTACACCATTATGCCAATAAACTTAAAATCTTTAAGCTATTATGGAAATGATCAGTAAACAATACTATCACGTACGATAATTAGTGTACGAAAAAAACAAAAATCAGTTGTTTTTTATAAAGAAAAAAAATAAAAATTGAGTGGTTGTTTGGATTAAAAAAAATGAAAATCGGTTTCTGTTATTAAAAAAACACGTATATTATAAGAAAAAAATGCCTTACATTTTCAGCAAACTGAAAAATCTTTTAATATTTCTGATTTGCACCCACGTCAAATAATCAATCATATGAACTGAATCAACTGATCGTTGAAAGTTACACCCCATTCACGTTTTTGAAGAACCAAGGAAAGAGTAACATTAATTTCATTTTATTTGTATTATTCTTTTATTATAAGCTAGTATTGAAATTTCAAATGAGTGTACTATTAATCGATAAAAAAAACTTTTTATTACTAATTTTTATTATTTGACAACAAAATTTATACTTATTTCCTTTAGTATCACTAGAAGTTATACTGTATGTTAGTATGTCATACGTGAATCTTTTATATAAGTATTTTATTATTAATTAAAAAAAAAATATTTTAAATGGATTCTTTATGTAATTCTAAATTACTAAAATTAATTACTTCGAAATGTCCTGGATATCCTGGATATATCCATCGGATAATGCAGAATTGCAGATATTCGTACCCCTACTTAAACAAATAAAATCATCCAAGTTTAGCCTTTATAATTTCTTATAACCTCATAAATGATTATTTATTATAACAATATGAAATTGTCTGTTATACCATAAACGCATTAAAAACTTAAAAACCTATTATTAAACTTTCACGTTGCCCATATGTACCAACTTATGGTTGTACAAACTTACGCTTAAATGTTAAATATTATTCCTGAAAATCTTACGCCGGTATTATCTTTTGCAACAAAAATATGGAAAGAAGTTCAATTCAGGTAAATTATAATTTTAAGTAATATTAAATATTTTAATTAATTAAAAATTGGGTTATAATAATTTTATAAATATGTAGAATGGAAGTTCTAGCAATACTATACCAGAAACTAACGACTCTGTTTCATATAAACTGCTTCACATGAAAACTACTTCAACAATTATAATATCCTTCTAAATTAGAAGAGGGCGGATTTACAAGTTACAACTCCCGACTGAAATAAAGAATTTATATGCATTAAAATTACTTTTTGAAAATTTATAAAATGAATTTTCACCACAAACTTTTCGAGACACTTTAGTTGCCTTGGCAGATCTGACCCATTCGATTTTTATGCAAAACAAAGTATGACTAGATTGAAGTTACATTTAAGAACTTGGGGCACAGTCTTAGAATGGATATGCTTTTCGCCAATAGAACTTCGAGATAAAGCTTTATCAAAATTTTCTGAAATTCATCGTAAAACAACACAAGTTATCAAAATAGGACTTGATAATAATTTTAGATCGAATTTAAGCCAATTTAACCAACTAAGCAACAATCAATTGATTTCTTACTAATCTCTTTCGAGATACGTTACATCGTTAATAGTTTGCTTGATGATGACGGAGACTTGGTTTCAATATTGAACCAGGAATTTTATCAATATAAGGAGTCAAATGATAATTGTTCAATCTTATCGATGCTTACTCAAATACGTAAAAACATAGGTTTTAAATATCATGTAGCATTATCTTATTAAGTAGATTAGAGAATTATGATGATGATACAATATAATCTATTCACTTGGTCTGAAGATACTGAAACAATAATTAGTAAACAATTCTGCGTATTGGTTTAATGGAATATTTTTTGGAGCATTTTGGATCCATATTTAGTTATATTTTCATTAATTTCGTTAACCAAAAATAAAAAAAAATTGGTACAATATCTTCAATCTATAAGAACAAATGATCGCAGTAACATACTTATTGTGGCTACATTATAAAACACTATATAACTCTGACCAGAATTATGGTCCAAATAATTTTTAACCAACTTGTAACTGAACCTCAACCTCTAGTCTTTAAGATGATCACGTAACATAATTTAAATTAGGGTTGCCGATCCCGAGGTTTTATTAATAATGTTTCACATTAATTACATTAATTAAAAAAAACAGTACACAACTTTTTCTTTAATGAAATAAAATACATGAAATGTATGTTGGACTTACAAATTTTATTCCATCACACTTTGATACTACGCCACAATATTAGTAATGATATCATTGAATAGTGATGTGCAACTGTTTGGGAGGCACCAATCTTACTAAATAAGTTCATATTGAATGGACGTTTGTTACAATGTAAATAATGTAAATTTACGCCAACTTGCAGTTGTACAAACTTACATTTAAACGAAAATATTAATCTTACGCCGGTAGAGATTTAATTCTTTTGCAACAAAAAAAAATATGGAAGGAAGTTCAAGTCAGGTAAATTATAATTTTAAATAAATATTTTAATTAATTAAAAATTAAGTTTATAATAATTTTATAAATATGTAGAACGGAAGTTCTTCTTGCAATACTATTCCAGAAATTCACGACTCTGTTTTTTCATATAAAACGATTTCGCATGAAAACTTCTTCAATAATAGTATTCTTTTAAAATTAAAAGAGAATGGATTTACAACTCCCGATGAAAAGGCAGAAGAACTTATTAAGAGACTGACCAACATAAAATATTTATATGCATTAAAATTACTTTTTGAAAATTTACAAAATGAATTTTCACCTCAAATTCTCCGAGATACTTTGGTTGCCTTGGCGGATCCGACCCCATTCGAATTTTATGCAAAACAAAGTGTGACTAGATTGGAGTTACATTTAAGAACTTGGGTAACAGTATTAGAACGGATATGATTTTCACCAATAATACTTAGTAAAGAACTTCGAGATAAAGTTTATAATTCTTTATCAAAATTTGCAGAAATTCATCGTAAAACGACTCAAGTTTTTGAAATAGGAGTTGATAATAATTTTAAATCAAATTTTAACCAATTTAACCAACAAAACAACAATCAAGATGACCAAATTATCACCAAAAAGCGTAATTATAACATTGACTTCTTATTAATCCACTTACGAGACACATTACATAGTTTGCGTGATGATGAAACTTTGTTTCAAGAAATTATACGAAGAGTTAAAAAATTGCTTAAAACTGCATTGAATATCACACCAGGAATTTTAACAACAATAACAGGAACTAATCTTCCAAGTGATTGTTCAATCTTATCAATGCTTAATCAAGTTCGTGAAAGTTTAAGTTTTAAATATCCTGTAGCATCTTATTATGTTGATTGGAGAATTATGTTGATAATTCAACATAATCTTTTTACCTGGTCTGAAGGTACTGAAATGATAATTAGTAAAAAATTCTGTGAATTGGTATTAATGGAATATCTTTGGAGCTTTTTGGAAAGGGAATGGATTGATGTAACTAATAAATCTATTTTAGATTCTCAAACAAAATTTGATGAAGTATCAAATAAAGTTACTAAAGCTTTAAAAAATACTGGATATTTCATGAATGATCTCGCTGGAAATGAACCTATTGCATTACCACATACCTTATGGTTTGGAATATTGGATCTTGCACAAAACCTTATTCAAAAGTCTACTCGAACTGCTACACATGGTCTTTGTTATTATTTAGCAATTGAATCACTTAATAAAGCTCCAAGTAGTTTCATTCAATTTAAAGCAGTTGAAATATTATTACATTTACATAATATTGATAGTAAAATGTTTTCAATGATTGATGATGATTTTGATCAATATATAAAAAAATTAAAAGAAATTAAATCATCAGATTTTTCAGAAAAATTTCAAAATTTGTTATTATTTATTAAAGAAAAATACGTTGAAGACTTAAAGATTTTAAGTGAAAATATTGGAAAAGAAAAGAAAGGAAAAGGAAAAGGAAAAAGTATAAATCAAAATTCATATTTAAAGAGAGAACAAATATCAAATTCTAATGTTATAGATATTATAGCAGATGAAATGACTTGTCCAGTTAGTAGTGAACCAGAGGATCAATTATGTATTTTAAAATGTCAACATACATTATCATTAAATAATTTAAAATTATTAAAACAAAAAATATGTCCTAAATGTCGAGAAAAAATTGAAGAAAACGACATCAGATATCTACCACAAAGTTCTATATTTAAAAATTTATATACTAAATTTTCTGAATCTGGTCATATTATGATACCTCCAATTAAATTAGAAAATTCTGATCAAATATATGATAGTGATGATTCAGATAATTCAGAAGCTGATCTTATATTAGCTAAAAAGAAGAAATCTATAAATTCAATTATTAAATTAAATTCAAATATATCATTATCATCAATACTTCCAAAATTTTCAAAAAAACAACATCCAACATATCAAAATATTATAAAAGAAGTAAATGAAAAACATTATGAAAAAGCTGAATCATTGTGCAAAGAATTTTTAATTTTTTTTTCTAAAAGTTATTCTTTAAGATGCATTATAGGTTATATTTATAGGTGTCTTAAAAATTATGAACAAGCACACTTCTATTTGAAAGAAGCCATTAATTTAAAACCAAAACAACCAATTGCTTATTTAATTTGTGGAGAAATATTTTTTTGGCAATGTAACTATAAAGAAGCAATAAATAATTTACAAAAATCAATAGATTATAAGGCTAAAATAAATAACTTATATATAATACTTGGAAATAGTTTCTTATTTAGTGAAGATTATTATATTGCATGTGTTTGTTATAATTTTGCATTAAAAAATAATTCAGATAATTATTTATGTTTTAAGAATAATGCATGTAGCTATGAAAAGAGGCATATGTATTCAGAAGCTTTAAATATGTTAGATAAACTGCTGAATATCAACAAGGATAATTCTTTAATTTTATGTTATTATGGAGAAATTTTATGTAATATGAAACAATATAGTAAAGCTATATCATATTTTACAAAAGCAAATATTATTGATCCAGAAAATACTCATAATTTAAATAAGAGAGCTATTGGATATTATATTCTTCAAGATTATAATAAAGTTTTATTAGATCTTGATAAAGTTATACAATTAGATCCATTAAATAATTTAGCATATTATCTCAAGTGTCTAATTTATTATACAAAAAAAGATATTGATAATGCTATAATGGTATTTGAAAAGTGTAAAGAATTATTAGATCTTAATGATATAAAAGCAAAAACTCTACTATTTCATCTGGAATATTTACTGAATAAAAATAATTCTACAGAATTAAATAATATATTAACAAAAATTAACCAAATTTCTAATATTAAAGATAGTGAATTACTACTTTTTGTTAGATGCAAAGTATATGTAGAATTAAAAATGTATCATGAAGCAATGTTAGACTTGAACTTGTTATATGATAAAAATGATATTTATTATCTATATATTTCATATATTTCATATATTTATTTATTACGAGAATACACAGATTTTTGGTTATATTTAAATGTTAATAACAATAATGATCTTTCTGAACTTGGAATTGTTAATGGATTTAGTAAACACATGTATGAAAGTAAGAGAATGTTTAATTTATTATTAACTTCTTATAATGTTTAATAATTAATCTATTGATAAATAAATTATTTAGTATCACAAGTTTATTTTATATCAAATCTGGTAAATTTAAATAGCGAACTTTATCAACTTCAAGAAAATGACATAAATAGGTAAATTAATAATGTATTTATTATATTTATTATGCATTTTAAGATTTTCAAAAATTGTGGCAATTTTTTAACTTTGAATTTCTTAGTTTATCAGAAAAGATAATAAGTTCAAAAAAAAAAGAGCTTCAAATGAATTTGCCCATGCTATATCTTAATTGTCATTATTATATTATTTGGAAAATAAACGTTAAAGAAATACTAAATAAAGATTGCTTTATAAAATTTATAATTAAAGGCTTTGTAAGTTTTATTAATTGCTAAAATCTCTTTTTTCACTATTAAAATTTTATTTTTAACTAATGTATGGATTATTATAGAATTCTAAGCGGTATAAGGATTCTGAACTAGTACATTATGAACATGTGCTAAAATATGAAGAAGTGTTAAGACTTGAGGGATGTGGTTGGATTGAATATCAGCTTCCAAAAAATGTAAATGAATATTATGTACAAACTTCAATTGAAATAAGTGGTTCTATCAATATGGTATATTTCTATTTTACTTGGAACTTTTTATTTAAAAGAAAATTGATTTAAGTAACTCATCATTATTTATTCATGTAGCAAATGGATTATGTTCGATATGGGCATAATGAAGAAGAGATAACTTATATTCCTAACATATGTATAGGTGATTTATTACCAAATTTTTATAAAATTTATCCAAATGTTCCAAAAACTTTTAAAGATAAATATTTTTCAAGAAAAGAAATGGAAAACTTGCTTGAGCTGAAAGATATAATTAACCATCTATGACTGTTTTTTTAAATTAATACTGTTTCATTTTTTCATTTACTTCATTTGTAATATTTTAAAATTAACAAATTCATTTTTTTTATTAAAAAAAATTCAATTTAAAAATAATTAAACTAATATTTAAAACTTTAAACATAACTGACCTTGGCCAAGCCTAAAAGGTAAAAGAACGAAAAATAATGGAAAGGAAAAAAATAACTTGAAAAAAAAAATATTATTAAAATAAAAATCGGAGGTATTTACTATAGCATCACAGCATCTTTCTGATCACTGATCCAAATATAGTGGGTGAAAGAATGAAAAATAATTTTAGTAAAAAAAATAAATATGAAAAAAATTATTATTGAAAACAAGGATTGAAAAAAAAGTGTTTACCATAACTCTGCAACATCAATCCGATCATTGATTTAGATTCAAGTCAAAAAAAAAAAAAAAGAATACTAATTAATAATGTACTTTTAATGTACTTATATAGCCATAATAGTAAAATACAGTATATAAAATTAAATGAAAAAATTATATAAAAAATAGTATAAATTATAAAGGAAAAAAAATTAAAAAAAATTGGGTTAAAAAAAACCAAATCGAAAAGTCAGTTAAAAAAAAGACCAAAATAAAAAAAATTTCGGTCTTAAAAATAAACCGAAAAAATAAAAAAAGGAGAAAAGGATGGCTAAAAAAAACCGAAAAATAAGTTCGAAAAAAAATTTTGTAGACCAAGCCAAAAAAAGAAATATTTATAATTTAAACAAAAAAGTCAAGAATATGATAATGTTTTGTTTGATCTTAATAAAAATGAATTAATTCATCAAGATTTACATATTAGTAATATACTAAGGTTCAAAAATCTAACTGATATGGGAAACCTGCTGATTATATAAATGCATCAAAAACAATATATATGGTATTTTACCATATATTGTTAAGAGGTCAAAATTATACCAAAGCATCAGACATATATAGTATTGATATAATTATGAATAAAGTGATTTCTGAATTATCTCCATATCACGATGTAAGTTATGACAATAAGAATTTGTAAAGGACTTAGACTAAGGTTTAATATCAAAGTACAATTAATTGTGATTTAATTAAAAGATGCTTAGATCCAAATCCATTAAGTCGAACAGAAGCAGAAGAAATCAAAAAATTCTTAAGTCAACGGCCTAAAGAATCACTTATGTTGAAAAATAATCGTTATGTAATTGGTAATAATACAGACGGAACTATACCAGTAGGTTGCTTAATTTTATTTATGTTGATTGTAAAATTGTTAATGAAACTTTATTTATTAATTAGCATCGCTATCTTTAAGACAAATTGATATTTCTAAACTAAATATTTATGAATATGATAAAAGCCCTAACATATGAATTGATTAAATTGCGATTTTTCATAAACGTGCGCGTGTAGAATTTTCATTAAATCCATTCAAAATCTTCAGGTTCATCCCCATCAGTGACATAATCTTTGATTATTCCTTTTGTTTTATATTTTTGTAAAAAATCATTTAATTTTGGCTGATGTTAAAGCATCTGCGTCACGTCTAGTGAAAAGATTTGTAATAACATAGAACGCCTATTTTTCCAATTGTCAAGAAATAATCTAAAAGATTTCAAATAAATATTTAAATAAGAATGAGAAGTATAATATACAAATTTAACTAATTTGTGCAGATCTCGTATACTTCAAATAAAATTTTCCAATTAATTTGATTTTTATTATTGATAATTTCTAATCCATTTAAAATTCGACAGTTAATTAATAAATTTTCAAATTCTGAAATATTCTCGTTAAACAATGATAATTTAAGATAATTTAGGTTTGGACAATTTTAATAAATTGTCCGGATAAGTCTTCCTCCATCATCTTGATCATAAATAATACTTATTTCAATAAGATTCCCTTTTGTATTTTCAATTAAATTTGCCAAAATTTTTAGATGGGACGCGTTGAGCTTTTAGATATTTTGAAAGAGGTAAAGATATCTTTTCCAAATAATTCCAATTTTTGTGTCTGGATTATTTCTAAACTTAATAAATTTTCAAGATATGAAAATAATTTTGTGTCAGGTCTCCAATTTATTCTCAAATATTGAATAGTATCGGCACATTTAATTAGTGACTCTTCAATTGGTCTGACAATTGTTTCATTATTAATCGGCAAATATAATTTAACTTTTTTTAAATTTTTTTGACTTTCAATTAATTTAATGATATCAGGATTATCACCATCACATAAAATATCAAAACTCAAACTTTTAATTGATGTATTTAATATATCCAATTCTTCTGCTAAAATGTCGTTGCTTCTAATAGAATTACTACAAAAGGATCCATACAAAGTTCTGTACCCGAAAAAAAATTTTGTATTCCTATTAAATATATTTATGATTTCTGATTCTATAATAGGAATTTTGGAATGATCAATATTTGTTTTATCTATTACAAAACCCTCTATCATTCTTTCTAATACATCTAAATTTAAATATTTCCAATAACTAATATAATAAAATAAAGGTTGTTGATATGTATTTATAAGTACAATATCTTGATTCCTCAAATTAGTATCACTTGATTCTTCTGATAAATATGAAAGTATCACATTAATTATAATGTTAAGTGCTTTGTCTTTTAAGAGAAATCGATAAAGATCCTTCCATAAAATTGGTACAGTCGTTTCATACCAAGACCTGTTAACTAAAAGACATGAATAAAGTGTATTATTTTTATCATACAATTCTTTTACTATTAGGGATATCACATCTTTGTTAAGTTTCGACATTTTTTAAATTGAAGAAAATTTAACCCACCCTTTATTTAATTTTTATATGGCGTAAATGAGTGTAACAAATAAAATGTGCACAGTATGAAATCATAGGGATATTTAGTCGTAATAATTCGGGTCACTACCATATTTAAAATGAAAGATTTTTTCGGTGATCATACACGTTCTCTTCCTTCAGCTCTGCACTTTCCTTTTTGATCTCACCCGATAGTGTGAGTGTGTTACATAAAGAATTTTTAAAAAAATATAAATAACTGTATTTCATATCCAACTAAATATCATTGTACCATGACATAAATATCTGAATTTATAATTTTACGATTAAAATAAATAACATTTCAAAAATTTATTTGTAGTTATTTTTACACTCACATTTTTTTATTTATATTTTATTAAAAAAGCTTAATATTTTAAATAAATTATCTGTGAATTTGGTACTGTTTTTTATTTATAATTAGTTTATTTATTTTATTTATTTAGATCGGAATGTTAAATTCACGGCAAAGCAAATGTCAGGAACGAGAATCATAAATAAAAAAATTTCCCATTTACATTTTATCTATAAAATTATAAAACCTTTTATTTTTGAATTTTTTTCCTGTCTTTAAAGTTTAAAATTTTGTATAATGTTAACTTTTTATAAAAATTCCAAAAAAATATTGTTTGTAACCACAAAACGGGAATAATTTTTTTTGTCAAACAAAGAATTGGCTTGGAGTAGTTTAACTGAATTTTTTTTTTAACAATGTAGCAAATTAAATGAGTGGGAACAATGTTGGGTAGAATTTTAAATCATAATATCCTTAAAAATTTTATGTATATTTATTCGTTTATAACTAGAAATTCATGGAATATAATAATTTTAATTTTAATATGAATAAGCAAAATAATAAATGTGTTCAATTATTCAAATTAGATGTCATTATTTGACATTGTTTAGGGAAAAAGCTTTTAATCGATATCACATGTATCACATGTTTCTGTAAGTCATTTTTAATTCCCGAGGGCGTAGCAGTGGTTTTTGCCAAATTTCATAAATCCTCCTCAAATAATTATTTATAATTTCTTTTTTTCAATTTTATATACTCAATATATTAAAAACGCATCATATCATAGTAATTTTGCTACCTTTCTAAAGTTGCGTGAGTAACTCGAATCATTTGATATCAGGTGGATTATATATTTAATTATACAACTACATAGATATTACTCAAAAGTGACATACAGTAAATCTTAATAATGTAGATCCTTTTTTTATTTTTTCACTATATTTGGATATTTGGAAATATTTGTAGTGATGAATTACAGATCACAAATTTTACATCACGTAGTCACGTATTTATAGTAAATAGATATCTACCATATCAGGTGACAATGATCTACAAAACAAATGATGCAATGAAGTCTATATTTGTGTTTATAATGATGCTATTATAAATACTATTATAGAAAATGCTCATGAAACCTCGTCCGCGTTATTTTTTATCTTTTTTTTTTATTTAAAAAAATAGTAAACTTATAAACATGTCACGTAAACTTGTTACGAGAGCTTTCAGTAAATTTAAAACTAAAGAACCTAAAGAAGTCAAAGATAACGATGTTATTATTTACGTTGGAAAAGAACCAGATTTTAAAGAATTTCAATCGAATTCTAAAATTATGCGTAGTAAATCTGATTATTTTAAAAGAATTTTATCCGATAAAAATATTGAGAAAAAAGATGAAAAATATGTAATAAAGATACCAGATGCCACCCCTCAAGTCTTTAATGTTATTATTAAGTAACTATTTAATCATTATAATATGTATATTTATATATATTCGTCTATATTTTAATACAATCATTTAATTTTAATCTAAACAGGTATCTTTCTACTGGGAAAATTAACGTAAAAAATAAAACTGGAATTGAGATTTTAAACGTTATGATCACTTCTGATGAATTAAAGTTGAACCAGTTAATTAGGCATATTGAAGATTCTCTTATTGAAAATCAAAATTTCTTACAAGATGATCCAGTTGAAGTTCTTCAAATGGTTTATTACAATAAATCTCTTGGTAATAATATACAAGAATTTTGTTTAAAATCGATTTGTTTTGAACCTAAAAATTTCTTTAACTCTGCCAAGTTTGTCAATTTACCTGCTCCTTTATTGGAAATTATTTTGAACCGAGATGATTTAAACTTGATTGAAATTAAAATTTGGGAAAATTTAATTAAATGGGGTTTAGCACAAGAAAAAACTCTTAACGAAGATGTTTCTAAATGGAATCAAGATAATTTCAATACTTTTGAAAAAATAATTCATAAATTTATACCATTAATTAGATTTTATGATATTTCTTCTGAAGATTATTTTTATAAAGTTAGACCTCTCGAGAAAATTTTACCAAAAGAAATTAAAGGAGAAATTTTAAAATTTTACATGATTCCTGGATATACACCAAATAATATTTTATTAAGAAATTCCGTTGATTCAGTTTTAATTAATACAAAACATACTTTATTATTTGCAAATTGGATTGATAGGAAAAAGGGAAAGGTTAACTATAAATTAATTCTTTTATATAGAGCTAGCAGAGATGGTAATAGTGCTGAAGAATTTCATACTAGATGTGATAACAAGGGAGCTACTATAGTTGTAGTAAAGATTGAAAATTCAGAACAAATAGTTGGCGGATATAATTCACTTTTATGGAATTCAAGTGGTGAAAATATGTCTACAAAAGATAATTTTATATTTTCATTTACTGATAAAACTAACCTACAGAGTGCAAAAGTAGTTTATAGTAATGGTGATCAATATTCTGTAAGATATCTTTCAAATTATGGTCCAGCATTTGGTAATTTTGATTTATATGTTGATTATAATATTGCTACTAATATTTGGTATAGTCGTGTAAGTTCTTATCCTACACTTAATTTACCAAACACGATGAAAGTAGTTGATTATGAAGTATTTCGAGTAATTAAAAATTAATACTATCATATTTGTTTTCATAAGGTTTTTTGTAATTAATATTATCATTATTATTTATTTTCAAAGAATAAATTTTTTTATTATAAATTTATAAATTCATAAAGTGATCCAAAAATATACATTAACACCAGATCGTTTAATCCCGTCTATCTTATTAATTAATATAAAAAGATAAATATTTATCTCGCAGTAACATTTAACCAGTTAGCCGAAAGTCGATAACTGCATAAATATCTAATCCAATGTTGGTTAAACCTACATTAAAAAAAGACATACCCGCCAATTGTTCCTCGTTTGGTCGTTTGGTCGTGACCAAATAGCTAACCCCAACAATGCAAGAAATTGAGAAAATGTTGGTTAAATCATTAAGGATATATTTTTTTTAAAAAAATATGCAAATTCACTTTAATGATTTTCCAAATAATTGAAACCAGCCTATTAAGAGGATTATTAGATGCATTCAAAAACTGATTAAAAGTGTTCATTCTCGTATAATAAATATATTTTTTTTTCGTTATTTTTTAATTTATCAGTTCAACATTTGAACCGAATTGGGGTGAATCACTAATGAGTCTGCCGGTTCTAATAATCCCTAGCAACAGCTTTTGCGTGAATATAATTTTGCATTATATTATTATTCTTTGGGGGAGAGTATCTTTCAAATGATTTCCATGGGCCACATTATCCTTACCAACTTTCTTTTTTCCTATTTTTCATCCCTTCGATTCTTTTAGCTGATTGAGAACCTTTTCAAAAGCTTAGAAGTGAAATAAATTCATTAAAAAACCTCTATTTTGTGCTTGCATGTTAGAAAAAATTCGGGATTTTTCCTCAATTAAACTTTGATCAACAAAATGGCTCTACAGAAAATGCATGTCGTGTATGACGTATTGTGTAAGTCAAGAGTACTGTAGTTGTAAACTAAGTAAATTGTTTACAATTAAAATACGGATATTGATATATAGGAATTTTTTGATTAAATAATATTGTAAATATATTTATAAAGTGATTTGTTAAAAATGTTTTATTGTAATATGAATAAGTAAAATCAATATTAACATAAAGTGAAGTAACAATTTCTTGTAGAAAAAAAAAAAATTAAAGAAAAAAGTCACGAGGGAAAAAAAAGATACAGTTCTACAGCAATTCTTAGAACAGTTATATCATCTCCAACCTAACATAAAGTAATAATTAATCAAATTTAGTTATTTAATAAGAGATAATCGTATATGGTGACAAATTTTGTCACCAATTTTTATGCTATTTTACTTTTTAATATATTATTCATTATCAATGAGATGGCCTTGCTGATGTCTATGTGCCATAACTATTGGCCCATCTTTTTACATGCCTAATAATCCAATTGAATGTATAACCACTCATCCGAACTAAGAACATATTCTTTAATCACACCTTTTGTTTTATATTTTTTCATTAAGTCTCTTATTGTTATATCTCCCGAATGAATTTCTAATAACACAGGATGCCTTTCATTCCAATTATCAAGAAATAATTTCAAAGATTCTAATTTAAGACCCCCATAATTAAAAGCAGAAAATGTAAACTTGTACAAGTTAATTGGTGAAAATTTTGTCAATATGTCAAATAATTTATTCCAATTAAAGTTATCCATACCAATAATATCTAATTTAAATAAAAATTGACAATTGATTAATAAACTTTCAAAATCTGAAACATATTCATTTGATAATTGTAATCTAAGATAATTAAGCTTCGGACAATTTTGATAAATTGCTTTGATAAGTCTTCCATCATCAACATCTTGATAATTAAAAATATTAATTTTAATGAGATGACCTTTTGTATTTTTAATTAAATTTGCTAAAACCCAAGGTGGAACTCGTTCAGATTTTAAAAATTTTAAAAAAGGAAATGATGCTTTTTCTAAATTATTCCAAGTTTTGAAATAATCATAAGAATGATCCATTAAATCTAAACTTACTAAATTTACAAAATTTGAAAGAAATTCTGTGATAGGCTTCCAATCTATTCTCAAATATTGTACACTATTTGCATACGTAATTAGTGAGTTTTCAAGTAATTTGCAATAGGTTTCATTAGTTCCCCTTGAATTCCTAAAGATGACTTCTTTTAAGCTTTTTTGAACTTCAATTAATTTAACGATTCCATGATCATCGTCGTCGATATACATAATATAAAATTCCAATTTTTTAATTGATGTATTTATTTTAGCCAATCCTTTTAAAATATTACTATTAGCATTATTATCAGAATAAAAATATTCGATTTCTGAAAAGCACTGTTCAGTCCCTAAAATATTTAAATATTGTAATTCTGAAATAGAAAGAGAAAAAAATTTTGAATCACTATTAATAAATAATTTCAATATTTTCTTTCCTAAAATATATTTCATATTTTCTTCAATATCTGTTAATGCAACCATATAATCTAAAAAACATAAATCCAAACATTTCCAAAAACTAATATAATTAAATAAAGGTTGTTGATATATTTCTTTAAAAACATCAATTCCTTGAATCTTCAAATAATCTCTTGATTCTTCTGATAAATGTGAAAGTATTACGTTAAATATATTTTTAAACGGTTTTATATTTAAACAACATCCAAATATTTTGGCAGGATCCCTCCATAAAATTGGTACTGCCATTTCACACCAAGTTCTATTAACTAAGAGACATGAATAAAAAGATTTGTGATCATTTTGTAATTCTTTTAAAATTAAAAAAATAATGTCTCTATTAAGTTTCAACATTTTTTTTTTTATAAAAAGAAAATCTACGGTTTACAAGTATCACTTCATTTATACCTAAGGATGGCGGCATGGCGCAAAGTGTGTAACGTGAGCTGGGAACTTTTTTTTTTTTATTTAGCATAAAACGCGACGATCATGCAGCTATTAATTAGACTGATTGCTACATAGTCTAAACAATTATGACGATGGATCCTATTCTATATAAAAATTTTTGAGATACCTTTTTGTTTTGTAGGATTTTTTTTAAAAAAGTGTGGTTTATAATACACTAAATCTTTTTTAAAAATATAAAAAGGCGTTCAATCTAGTAGTATCAATAGTTGATCAGATTAATTTAGTTTAGTTTCGGATTATCTTAGTTGAATTTTTGGTTGATATATTAGTGATTGCCGCAGCTGATCGACACAGGTCGTAAAATAAAGGATTGTTTTACAGTCAAAATTCGTTATAGTAAACCCTTGGTTCCAGTTACTTTTATTTACTATAACGAATATTTACAATAGCGAGAAATCTCATTATAGTAAACTTAATATAAAAATAAAAAAATCTTATAACGAAATGTTTTTTGAAATTTATTAATGTATATACTCATGCAATTAAAACATCTTGAATTCGCCATTAATTTTTGATCTTAAAGTATTAAAGGTCTTTAATTCTGTATAATTTGTTGCAATATTATCAGGCGGATTTTTAAAATATCTAATCACCTTTTCTAAACTATTCAAGGCTTCTCTAGTATTAGTAATAACATTTATTTCTTCTGGTGTTTCATCGTCTTCTGCATCATCATTTTCAACATTTAGAATTACTGCTTCTTTTTCTTTACCTTTTATACTTGGTAATATTTTAAGGACTACGAAAAAAAGTTGTTTTATGATAAAATGGCGTTTTATTCATTTATTGATTAAAAAAGAAAATATGTATATTAACAAATGATTTACATTTTATTTTAATTATTTTAATTATTTTACTTTAAGAAGAGCAGTTATTCTAGTAAATCTATTTCGCAGATATAGGAACAACTACTCCGACTATTAAAAATTGAGCTATAATACCTATCCGAAATACAATCGAATCATATCCACCCTTCAGAAAAATAAATCTGCAGGACAGGAGATATACGCTACCGCCTGAGTTAAAAAAGAAAAAGAAAGTAACAAACAAACCTGAAGGGGTTAAATATTAAATTAAAAAGGAATTCAAAGATTTAATCCAAGGTACATTATGTAAAAAATCAGAAGAAGTAAAATAAATCCACATGTGTGTATCATCCATTTTGCATCAGTAATCTTACAGTAAATAAATCGTGAGGAAAAATAGTTCCTGGAAAACAACAAAGCGTCCTTGTTTTGATGTTTTCCTTTTCGTTTGAATGAGGCGAAGGATTGTTTTGTAATATTGTTATCAATTTTCTATTCTTTAAATTTTTGGCATCTGACATCTCTGAAGCGTTATATCACATGGTTATCAATAATCACAGATAAAAAAGAGCCCAAAAAATTGTATCGATAAAAAAGCGTTTAATTAAAAGTATATAGTTAAAATATATTTAAAAATATATTGGTGAATTTAAAATATCATTATATTAAAAAACAAAAATCATTTTTAACAAAGAATTTTTCTAACTATCACCTGGGGTGATGATCACTGGTGACTGAAATTATGACAATCGACTAGCATTAAAAAAAATATAGTGCCGGTAAAAATTGATAATTCTGGCCAACGGTGATGATCACCCCCGGTGATTTGAAGTAGTGTTTCGATCTAGTGTTTCGATCCGTTGCCGGGTTCAACCGGATAAACCCGGATAATTTTTTTTTTTAGGTATCCGGATAATTACGGTTTTTACCCGGATAAATATCCGGATAAAAAATGGTCAGATTGACCCGGAATCCGGATAAAAAATAAAAAAAAATTTTAAAAAAATTTAAATCATAACATTTCATATATTTTCAGATGAGTTAAAATATTATATATGATTACTTTAAATATTTTTTTTTATTGTTTTAATTATTCGTTAACCACAAGGAAAAATTTTAAGTTATGTCACAAGATTTGTCACATAATTTGAATTTAATATATTAAATTCGCGGCATTTATTATTGATTTGTTTTCAGATATAATGTGTTCTGTGGGTGGTGTTATTCCATGCTTAACAACAGATCCATCATATTTATAACTTTTTGTACATTTTCTCCATTATCTGATATAAACTGACAATATGCACGTATTTCTCCATTTTCACTTTGTTTTCTAACAAAATATTCCCATACCCAACTCACTTTTGTTTGTGGTTTAGTCATTGTAGTAGTTAGTTTAAAGGGATTTGGATTATTTGATATTTGACTTGTTAATTCAAGTACAGTTAACTTATTTTACTAGCACTTATCATCCTTTATTTTCCAAGTGTCCTAGATAATTTTTTAGGTCATCCTCTTTTTAGTATTAGAGCAATTTCTGTAACTTCATCACTGGACTCTTCATTTTCACTTAGAGTAATATAATCTTGAACGTTACTGTTTTCCATAATTTTATGAATTATTTTCCACTATTCAAAAATATGTTTCAAGTGAAATTACAAAAAAATCCAAGAAAATGATTACAGTATTTATTTATTTTGGTTAGGGCTTAGGACTACATTAACTAACTGTACTTAAATTTATAAATAAAAAAATAAATGCTATAAATAAATTTTTATATCAATCCCACGAAATTTAATTGTCATAAATTTAATAAATGCCACGAATTTAGTAGTTAATTAAATGCCATATATTTAATTAATTAAATGCCACATTAAATTAAATGAATGCCACGAATTTTATTTATTAAAAATGATCTACAGTAAAAAAAATTTAAATAATTTTATCCGGATTTCGGTTTCTACCCGGATATATCTGGATTCTTATCCGAGTCAGATAATCCGGATAGAAACTGGATATTTTTTTTAATTTATCTGGATGATGGTTTCTGCCCGGATCGAAACACTAATTTGAAGTAAAAACCAATAACGAAATCTTTTGAATCTTGTTAAATCGGTATATTATTTGGAAATAATAAAAGATATTATAGGTAAAGAAACTTTTTCCAAATGATAAATTATAAGGTTCATGTTTTTTAAACTTTTTAAATTTACAAGACGTGAAGTAAAATTTAAATCAAAATTCCAATTATAAGATAAATCTTATTACTTTAATATACAATACTTCAAAAAAAAAACAAATGAAATAAATGAAATAAATTCTATAATAGTATCTGCTTATTTATTTTATTTAAACATTTAAGCAAAAATATTCTCAATTTACTTTGCATGAATTTGTTCTAATCTATTTTGAGCATCTTTATCTCCTTGTAATGCAGATTTTTTATACCAGTAAATTGCTTGATTAATATCTTTAAGAATTCCTGTTCCACTCTCATACATAAAAGCAAGATTATATTGAGCTGTAATATTTCCTAAATCTGCTGCCTTTTGATATAATTCAAATGCCTTTTTTTCATCAATATCAGTTCCAGTTCCTTTTTCATAACAATATCCTAAATTATTTATTCCATATGTATTTCCTAAGTCTGCTGCCTTTTGATATAATTCAAATGCTTTTTTTCCATCAATATCAGTTCCAATTCCTTTTTCATAACAATGTCCTAAATTATTTATTCCAATTACATTTCCTAAATCTGCTACCTTTTGATATAATTCAAATGCCTTTTTTTCATCAATATCAGTTCCAATTCCTTTTTCATAACAATGTCCTAAATTATTTATTCCAATCGCATTTCCTAAATCTACTACCTTTTGATATAATTCAAATGCCTTTTTTTCATCAATATCAGTTCCAATTCCTTTTTTATAACAATGTCCTAAATTATTTATTCCATATGCATTTCCTAAATCTGCTGCCTTTTGATATAATTCAAATGCTTTTTTTCCATCAATATCAGTTCCAATTCCTTCTTCATAACAATGTCCTAAATTATTTATTCCAATCGTATTTCCTAAATCTGTTGCCTTATGATGTAATTCAAATGCTTTTTTTTCATCAATATCAGTTCCAATTCCTCTTCTGTAACAAAATCCTAAATAGTTTATTCCTTTTGAATATTCTCTTTCAGCTAATTTTTTAAATAATTCAAAAGCTTTATTGTAATCTTTATAATCACCATTCCCATGTAGATAACAGCAACCAAGATTATATTGTGCTATAATACTTCCTGAATTTGCAGCTACCTGATATAATTCAAATGCCTTTTTTTTATCAATATTAATTTCAATTCCTAAATAATTAAAATCTCCAAGTAAAACAATAGAATTTGAATGATTTTGATTATTTAATAAGTAAATATAAATTTCCTGTGAGGTCATATTATGATTATTAAGATAATTATAAATAAGTAGTCTTTCTAATTCATCATCATCTACGCTTAACTTATCAGAAAGTTCAACCATTTCATCAACTGTCACCATAAAGTTAATATTTGATGATATTGAAGAATCTATTTCTTTAGTATTCATCTTGTTAAACTCTTGAATAAATTTGGATAATTCTCCATGTGATGAATTATTCATAGGATCTTCAAAAGCATTCAAATCGAGTTGTTGTTTACTGGATAATTGGTTTGTATAAGAATCATTTGTCTGCCGAAAATCTTTTATAACCATATTATTATTCTTCAGAATAATTGCATTTAATTTAAAGACTACCTGATTGATAGTTGGACGATTATCTGGTTCATTATTCCAACAATCTAAAAAAAAAAAAGATAGAATTAATTTAATTAACATTAATATAAACATAAAATTAATTATTAATTATATTTACCAGTATAAATATTTACACAATCTTCGGGTGTATCAGGAATGGGTGTCTCTCTAAGACCTTGTGATATATTAATTGCTAAACAAACGTCATACGGTTTACCTTCAGTATAAAAAGGAGGATTGCTACTAGTTATCTCCCATAAAAGTATCCCAATACTATAAATATCACTTTTTTTTATTTAATTTATAATCTTGATCACTAAAACTTTTCGGGTCAATATAAGGAATTACTCCAAATAATTTCGTTGAAGAAAGGTTGGATGATTCCTCAATTCTTTTTGATAGACCAAAATCAGCTAATTTAACCATATTTTGATGAACTAATACATTTTTGGAATGCTATTAATATTATTAAATACAATAAATTCATTAATTACAATTCAGCAAACATGAAATAACAAAATGTAAACAAATGAATTACCAGATCATGGTGAATAATTCCTTCATCGTGTAAGCATAATATAGCACAAGCCAACTGAAGTGCCATATTAAATTTATTATTCCAAGTAAGATTATCAAAATGTTCCTTCAAATATTCTCGAAGAGTACCTCCATCTGCATACTCCATTACTAACCAATATTTTTTTGAATTATCAATTTGATTTTCTTTGTAAAAAAAAATAATAATAATAAATTTAGATTTTACAATCAAATTATGCATGAAAAGAAAGTATATTGTACCTGTTGCAATACCACAGAAACGAATAATATTCTCATGAAAATCCACTTCACGTTGAATTTTAAGCTAAATAGAATTTTAAATTAGAAGTTATATAAATTATAAGGTAATAATTATTTTATTATTACCTCTTTAAGTCTTTAACTATTTCTTTAATTGTGACGTTGTTAAAATTGAAAAAAGATTTTAATGCCAAATAATTAGGAGAACTTTTCCAGTTCACACGGTAAACTTTCCCAAACCCTCCAAACCCAATTTCTTGAAAATTACTAAAATGATTGAGTTCATAATATTTAAAGTAATCTTTTGCAATGGCTTCTTCAATCCAATTAATCCACTCATTATTTGAATTTTCAGTAAATTTTACGGGTATATTAGATTCAGTGTTATTAGACATTATTGGGTTTTATTGACGAAGATAAATTGAATGAAAAAATGTAAAAAAAATATTAAGTTTGCTTATTATAAGGACTGGTATTACCAAAACGTAATTGTGCATGGAGGTACAGGAGGTACAGTAACTATCGATCACTTCCAGGTGATACTTTAAAAAATAGGTGTACTGTGTAACTGTGGTAGGTGTATATATTTATATATGAAGCGATTGAAGCGCCGTAGATCAAAAATCCCGGATTGCAGCATCCAGGGTACTTTTAATTAATCTTTTTATTAATATGTAATAATTTTTAAAATTATATCGCAAAAATTAAGTTTTATTTGTTTTTATTAACGTTTAAAGCGATAATCAAGTAATAATTAAATATTTTTTATTAAGAATTTTTCTATCACCGAGAGTGATGATCACCAGTGACTGAAATTATGACGATTGACCAGCATTAAAGAATATAGTGCCGGTAAAAATTGATAATTCTGGCCAACGGTGATGATCATCCCAGTGATTTAAAGTAAAAAACTTTTATTAATATGCAAAGGTTTTAAAATACTTTGCAAAAATCAATGTTTTTATTTTAAAAATTAATAACTTTATTAACAAATAATATAATTTTTTTCAGCTTGATTTTTTTTAGAACATCTTAAAAAAAAAAAAAAAAAGTAGTTACATTGGCACATGAAAGATTTAAACACAGTAAGCGCGTTTATTAATTATGCAAAAATTACAATAAATTGATTACATAAGGCCGGGCAAAAAAAAAAAAATTTAGATTCTCGTTACCCGGCCGGGTCAGTTTTTCGAAAAATGGAAATTTTTTTTTTATAGTAAAAAATTTTTATCATGTTATTGGCCAATGTGGCGTAAAAAAATTTTACATATGAAAAAATTTTACAAATATAAAAAAAAATGCCGGCCGGCCGGGTCATTTTTAAAAATTTTATGTCACGAGAATCTAAAAATTTTTTTTTGCCCGGCCTAATATTAAAACATCTAGAAAGAAGCAGATCCCTCTATAACTGAACTCAATCTAGTCTAAAAAATTACTATGATAAATTGAGTTAAATTTATAAATTTAAATAATTTTGTAAATTCCTATTTAACAAGTTGCAATATAAAAAATGTATTTTATTTGTATAAAATTCTATCTTTATTTTTTAACGCCTAATCGTTTGTATTACCATTCAAAATGTTGAGTATAAACTAAAATAAGATAAATTCACTTACGGTTTGGAGGTATAAATTTTAATCAAGAAAGTTAAGTTAAAAACTCAAAAAGATTATACGTTGCTCTATATTGTATTAAAATGGTTTTATAAATCATAGCATTTCTTCCTATAAATATGTAGTTATGGCTTCGATCGAATATAAACATTAGTATAGCTAACTTGTAATATATAAGAAAATTTATATACCAATATTATCGGCATTGTAAGGTAAAAGAATATGGATGAAATATATAGTTGCAATTTATTAGACATAATTTATTCATAACTTCATTTAAATGGTATACGATATCAAAATTTAGAGATATGCACTGATTAATGGTTTGAAAGTTAATATTTTGATGATATTTTAAGACTAAATATCAATAAATAAAAAGACTACTACGTCATTCTTATACATTTGATTCTTATTTTTAAAGAAAAAAAAATACTAGTTTTATCGGTTTATTAATGAATTTTATAGTAAAAATTTACAATATTTAGTGTTCTCGCGAACATAAAATAGAAACTTGTATTGAAAAAGAAATACTAAACCAAACTAGAACCCTGATAATTAAAACTACTACTAAACCCTAAATTAAAAAAAGAAGAAAAAGTACTATAAAAAGAAAAAAAATTATTATATTCCCTATAAAAAGTATCAAAAGAATCGAAACTAGAAATATTCGTGAACCATCCACCAGCTTGAAGATAGTTATAAGTAATATAAATGACCCATAACGGGACGAAATGTCCTTGACAAAAAATGCTCGGAGCGTCCGTCGAAGGTGTATGTTGTGTAACCCGACCTGGGTAATTGAAGAGGTATTTATATTTGGAAAGTTTCGTGAATATCGAGTCTTGTCAGTTTAGTGACCTTGACACCTTTTTCCCAATAGTGTTTGTATCCGGATATCATCCGGATAAATAAATCCGTCTCCGTTAAGAATTTTCAAATCCGGTTATCTGATAAAATATTTTTTACAAATCCGGATATCCATCCGGATTAATCCGTGATCTTCGTGGATGTCTAACGGGTCATTAGCGAGTTTATACCCGGATAAAATCCGTGAACTTAATATAATTTATTGTATTTATACATATATCATTAATATTGTATAATAATTTGTAAATATAAAAAAAATAAAATTTATCTCAAAAGCATGAATTTATTTGTGTAATTTATATAAGGTATAGTTTAAACATCAATAGGAGTAGTAGTTAATTGTTGAGCTGGGTGAATATTAGCAAAATGGGGACTATTCCGTTTTAAGAACATAACACGACTAAATAACTCAGGTTTCATTCATGTTCTCTTAACAGTTAAAAGATTTCCCGCGTCTGAGAACAGTCATTCTGAGGGAGTAGATGCCGCATTTGGAGAGGGAGAAGTCAAAAAAGAAGTAATATTGATCGCTTTTGCGCTGTGTCATACTGGAAAATGGAGTATTACAAATGACGATAAGCAAGATAAAAAGTGGTTTAACGCGTTTTAGTATTTTTATTACTTGGTGATTCATGTAGCGAAATATTGGACATTGAGACAATTATTACTACATTGTGCAGATTGGCATTTAATATTTCTTAAAATGTATTGATCTGCTAACATAAACGGATATATCCGGAGGATCCGTTTAGACTAAAATTGTATCCGGATAACGTCAACTCAAAAAAACCTTTATCCGGATACCCACTTCTTACCAGATATCCATTAATACAACCGGATTTGCTATATCCGGATACAAACACTATTTCCCAAGCTTTCAGGGCGTCGTTATTTACATGCCAAATCGCTTTCGTTAGGTGTCCATGGAGAGAACGATTATGGATATTAGTGATTTTGGTCATGTTCAAAGTCAAATGACGGTCGTGTAAAGCGTTAATTCATTGGAAGAGAGGGGTAATACATGATCCATAAGATAGGTTTAGATTATTAAATTATTATAAAATTAAATTTAAGCACTTATATCATCGCACTAAGTGTGACACGTGATATTAAATGATATCCATATGTAACCGGAATATTTTTATTTTTTTTTTTGTGTTCAAATGGATGTTGTGGAGCATTTTTATTGGTTGATAGATTTTCCACTCCAGTGACTCGTCCGGGATATGAGAACCAATTTTTTTTTGTATCGCCTTATTATTCTTATTTGGAACTATTTAGAAATTAGAATGGCTAAGACAACTTGATGTTTATATAAAACATGTACTACTATTTGCAGTGAGGTTTTTATTATAGTTTAAGATAAATAAAAATACGCTTTTCCAAAATGGCACTTCTGTTTATTTTAAATTATTTATTTAAAATTTCCTTGTAGTATATATGTACAACCACACACAAAAAAGAAAAAAAATACTTAAATTTGATTCACAATGAAAAATTTTTATGTCGAAAGTTGATCATTGCTCAATTAACTTTTCATAAAAAATTTTTTTTTATGCAAGAGGCGAAATTTTACGTACAGACATGCATATTTATTATGTGTTTCAAAATAAAAAAAGCTCAATTAACTTTTCACAATAAAAAAAATTTTTTTTTCATGCAAGAGGCAAAATTTTTGCGTACGGCAATGAATATTTGATTTGTGTTTCAATATATAAACTTAATTAGCTTATACAATAAAAAAAAATTCTTTTTTTATGTACGTATAAGTCGTATAACCATGCATATTTACACGTGTTTCAAATGAAAAAAAAAACTATATAATCGCTAATGGACGATATAAAAAAAAATAATTTCTTTGGTAAGAAATTTAGTATATATTTATAAGCGATTTCCAAATGAGTGACAATTCAGTAATCGAAGTTAACGATAATGTTGACAAAATCGAAATCGATGTTGATAAAAATGTTGTTGATAAGTTTTTTACCTTCGATGATGAACGACATAATGGTAAACCTATTACTATGATAGAAATATCACCAAATGAAAAATACCTTATTACTCAAAGTGAAGAAGATCGTTCAATTGTCGGTTGGAATGTTGAAAATATAGATAAGGTTCAACTTAAATTTCATCAAGCTGTTAAAATTAATGAAGATAAAATCATAAGTTTATGCGTTTCTGATGATAAGAAACTTGCTTGTATTAGTTACTATTTTGCTACTATTACTGGTAAGTAATAATTATTTGATTATGTAATTATTAAATTATGGTAATTTATATTTATTTTAATATTTTTTTTAGTAATTGATATGAATAATAAAGATAATGAAGATAAAAATATTGACTTGGATTTAAATATAAAAGATTATCATCTAAAGCATTATCATTATTATTGTACCTTTAATTTAAAAGGTGAATTTATTTTATATGGTAATGATAGCCTTGTTTCGGAACGTAAAATTATTTGGATTTATTCCACACAAACTAAAAATAACAAATGGGAATGTAAGAGATTTTACGAGATACCCAAAGATTATGAATTAATTGGTATATCAAAATATGATAAAGTTTACCTGTTTTCAAATGATTACATTTATGAATGGAATATTAATACTGAGAGAGGTGTAAAAATATTTGGTAATAATAAAGATAAGAATAAGGTAATAAATATTATAAAATTTATTTTCCAATCAATATTAAATTATAATTAAATATATAAATACTAATTATTTTTTAGTTTGAAACAAAAAATATCGGAATATTCAGTAATTATGAAAAATTTACTTTTCTAAAAATCAATGATAAAATCATCGTTTATTCAATCGAATTGGGAATTCCTATTGCTTCTTTGGATATAAATGATGGTAACCATTTTTAAAAATTTCATTTATACTTTAATTATTACTCATATTAAATCATTATTTTATATTTAGATATTCAACTTTATAATTTTATGAATCATACTGGTTTATTTCTTTTACCTTCTTTATTTTATTATACCCCAGATAAAGAAATCAAAAATTGCTGGAACAATAAATACAAAACTAAGTTTAATCGCACTTTATTTGATATATCAATTTATGAACCAACTGATGATCAAACAAAGTTTGCGTTTGGAATTCAAAATAAACGTGTTTGGAAATCTAAATTTGACGAAAAGATGTCAAAGATGAACTTTTCATCTGAAAATTTTGATGAATTAAATAAAGAAAATAACAAAATTGTTGAATGTGATGAATACTTAAATGTTCATTCATTTAATTTATATACGGATACTGTGTCTACATTATTTCAAAAAGCCATTGATGGAGAAAAAGAATCAACTGAACTAGCTGGAAATTTAATTAAATGGGATATACTTGTTGGTAACGGTCAAATTAAACTGGAAGTTTTCAAAAAAAATTAATTAAAGCTCCGAACGGGTCAGGTCAACCCGGGTGACCCGACGGGTTGACCCGAAAAATTCGGGTCGGGTAGCAAATTTAATGACGTTTCAGCGTTTTTTATATATAAAAAATGCCAACCCGTTTTTTTGACCTGAATCCGACGTTTGTTCATAAAAATAATAATAATAAACGTCTTTTTTTAATGAAAAAACGCTGAACCCGACGTTATTTCATTAAATAAATCAAAAAAAAACGTTTTTTAATGAAAAAACGCCGAAACTGACGTTATTTCATTAAATGAATGAAAAAAAAACGTTTTTTAATGAAAAAACGCCGAACCCGACGTTATTTCATTAAATAAATAAAAAAAAACGTTTTTTTAATGAAAAACGCCGAATCCGACGTTATTTCATTAAATGAATAAAAAAAAACGTTTTTTTAATGAAAAAACGTATAACCCGACGTTATTTCATTAAATAAATCAAAAAAAAACATTTTTTTAATGAAAAAAAGCCGACCCGACGTTTTTCATTAAATGAATCAAAAAAATGTTTTTTTTTTTAAACATCAACGGGTTGGGTCAGGTACCCGACCCAACCCGATATAAAAAACGTTTTGGCGTAATCTAATATGTAAAAAAAATGCCAAACCGTTCTTTTCCACAAAATAATTGTAAAAAAAAAACGTTTGGAGTTTTTTCTTATAATTTGATATATAAAAAACGCCGAAACGTTTTTTTTGATCCAAAATATCGGGTCAACGGGTCGGGTCGGGTACCCGAACTGACCCATGATATTCGGGTCGGGTCATCAAATTCGTGACTCCCCCTCGGGTCGGGTTAAGTCAATTACCCGACCCTACCCGACCCGTTCGGAGCTCTAAAATTAATACTAAATGGAAATTAATTAACATAAGAATTGAAAATTATTATTATCCTTATAAATATGATGGTAGTGATTTCTGCAATAATCATTATTTAATTGCGAGTTTATTATTTAGTAATGATGATATTGTTATATTGACAACATTTGGTATTCTTATTTATACTTTTAGTGAAAATAACAAATCTAGTGAAAAAGACAAATCTATTTTTTTAAACTATTTTTATTTTATGAAATTCTATAGTTATACAAATACGAAAACACTTCAATTTTACAAAAGAATGTTTTCAAAATCTACTTTACCATTACTAAATTATGATAGTTTTAGATTAGATGGATGGGTTTCAGACGTAATAAATAATAAGTCAAGTCTTTTGAAATATGGAGTTCAATTATTAACATTTGCAATTAAAGAACATAAGTTAGAATTAATTGATGAGATTTATAAAAAATGTATGACTTATTTTAAAGAGGATTTAATGAACAATAAGTCATTTTTAAGCATTATCACTTCCGCAATGCCATTACTAGATGAATATTATCCAGAATATATTCTAAAATATTCATCAGAAACGAATATGATCATAGATTCTTCTTTTTATAGTATAGAGCATCAAAATAAAAATTTACATCTTGATTCTTTTTTTCAATCTTCTCAAATAGCTAATTTGTCAAAATCTCTTTTATGGACAAAATACTAATTTTATTTTGTTGATTCAGGAATACTATTGTTTATTAATATATTGCAAGCTTTAATAATACTTTTAACTTTACCCCTTTATTTGGCTACATTTTATATTTTATCAAAATACAATTTTATCAATAATATTTATGATGAAGATTTATTTTCTTCTATTTATTTTTATACTGAACATAAAATTTTTAAAATTTTTAAAAAATACATAACAATGACACCAACAATTACTTTTATGATTCCTTATATTAATTTGTTAATTATTCAAAAGATTATAATTGGTTTTTAGAATTAATTAGACCTCAACCTAGTCCATTTACTGAAACAATAAATAGAAATATTTATAAAACATGGAATGGTGAAGCATTAATTAATTTTAAATGGAATGCTTATGGAAAATATTATTATGCAATGATTTGGATGTTATTTATGGTTTTGCTTGGATGCTTTACTACTGCTGCAACAGTTCCTCAGAAATATATTAATGAAGAAGTTAGACAACAACTTTTTATTGCTTCGATTATACTTGGATTTATTCATCTGATTTTAGAAATTCGTCAATTTTTTTATAAAATTACTGAGTGGTTCAAGAATTTTTGGAATATTTTTGGTAAATATAAAAGTTTATTTACTATGTTTTAAGAAATGAAATTAATTATATAATATTTTAATATTGTAGATATAATTGCTTATGTACTTTCAATCTACACTTCTATTTATTGGCTTCAAACAAATGATAAGAACAATAATAAGTATCTAATTTAATTTCACTCTTTTTCATGCTTATTTTTGGATATAAAATTTTTGTTATTTTTTAGAGCATTTGAATATTTTGGTGTATATTTTGCAATAATTATTAGTGTTGGAAAAAAGATTTTTTCTTTTTTATTAGTCTTATTCATTATTATAATAAGTTTTGCACATGCATTTTATATTTTATTATCACCAAAATCTGAATTTTCACTTGAACAATATAATACAAATAATAATGATGATCCAAATAATCCTTGGAATTTAGCTCCTAGTTATAGTCAAATTGATAATAATGGAAATATAAATTCAAATCCACTTATGATTCAAATTCCTGATGGAAATACAAACATGTTTATGAATATTAAAACTTCCCTTTTTGCTATATATTTATTTTTAATAGGTATATTTTAATTTTTCATAGTTATGTAAATATATATGATATTTTCTAATATTTTTAAGCAATTCTTCTTATCAATAGGTGATTCAAGTGCATTATCCAATTGGACATATACAGAAAATCCATCAATTGCAGTATTGATTGTTTTATTTTCCCTTTTAATTGTTATATATCTTATGAAATTGTTAATTGGATTACTAAAAAATGCAATTGAAGAAGATAATAATAGAGTCTCATATTTGATGCAGAAGGCAGAGGTAAATAATATTATTATTAAACATTTCATTTCTGTAAATATACTAATATATCTTGATTTCATTTTTGAAGATTTTGGCTGAGATTGAGTTATTTTACCTATTACCACATCAGAGACGTTGGCAAACATGGTTCCCTGAAGTAATGTATGTAGTTTTACTTTTAAAAAAAATTTAATGTTATAATTTTATTAATTTTATTAATTATTCAAATTTATTTTCAAGACATTATTATGCCGATTTTGATAAGACTCGAGGAGAAGTTCAAAGATTGATTAAAGAGGGTGAATGGAATACAAAGGAATTCACAGAGATGGTGAATATTTTATTAAAAAAACTTGAAATTGAACATAATCCTATTGACAATGAGGCAATATTGGAGAAATTAAAATCTTATGATGAAAAATTAGAGAAATTAGAGGAATTAGAGAAATTAAAGGAATTAGAAAAATTATTGAAAGAAATATGTGCAAAAAAATAATTTTAAGATTATGTTAGTTTTATAATTCAGTTTGTAATTTAAATAATTCTTTTTTATATGGCTTATCCAAATATTAAATATATACTGTATATTCTTTTTTTATTTTTTTTTACTCAGAATTATTTAAAAACTAATGTTAGAGTAATGAATATTTTACAAAATTCTTAGTTTGTAATTTAAATAAATCTTGATTTTTCTTAACTTATCAAATTATTAAATATAAATTATCAAGATTATACATATAGTGTAAAACCATCTCCAATTTGTGAAATCAAAATAAATAATATAAAAACTTTTTATATTCATCTTCAAGACAGTGCTGATGGTCAGTGATTAAAGCTTTAAGTATATTCGCCAAGTTATTAAAAGAATAAAAGTTTGACCGTCAATTATTCAATTATTTCAAAATTAAGCTCTGGAATATTTTTAAATAATGATCGCAATCTTAAGCATTAATTACAAAAACGAAAGATGAAATCACAATAATAATAAAAAATCACATGACAATATTTATTTCTGATTATAACTATAAATGAGCTTTATTTTTTTTGACGTAGATACTAATCTTAAAAATTAGTTAATCGGTTAAGACCATAATTTTGATCAGATTCAATATAATGCAACCCACAACCCAATGCAGCCCAAAGATATGTACATGTTCCAAACTTAAATTTTTTGTTTATTAATACGGTAACGGTATTAATTTCTCAACAGCTAAATATATAGGTAAAATTAAAAACAATTTGCGACCAAAGTATTTCTAAAATAATTTTTAATAATATGCATACAAAAACTAGTCAATCAATCATTAAGATAACATAACAACATTTCTCTAATAATTATTCTAATTTCTGAAGATTATATGTTTATTTATTATATTTTATTTCTTTTTAAAAAATTTACAAAGCAGCCATATCAATTATTACGAACTAATTTCTCTTATAGCTTGAAATACTTCATATTCTTCCATAAAAAAATTATCATAAGTTTCTCTGATTTGATTTTCGTAATAATCATTTTC